CACCCACCCCCCCAGCCACAGGAAGAACAACCTTCAGAACACGGCCAAAGAGCCGGAAAAACCCACAACAACTACATATAGCATACTTACTGTATATTCAGACTACTACATAAATAGTAAGTGGTGCTAATCATATTCTGATCATCATCGCTTCATTTATGATTAGGAGTGAGTAAATGGAAATGAATACAACAGAAAACTGAGTATATATTCAGTTTATCAGAACTCAAAATACAGTGGTGCCTCGACTTACCAACTTAATTGGTTCAGGAAGATGGTTGTAACTTGAAATGGTTGTAAGGCAAAGCACCATTTACCATTGGAATGCATTGAAATCCAATTAATCCATTCTGGCTGAAGAAAAAAAATCACAAAAAAAATCACTGCAAGACTGGTCGGAAACACCATTAATCCCTTCCAGCCAAAGGGGTGGGGGTGGGGAAGAAAAGCAATAAACCATGCAAGACCCATTGCAAGACAAAGACAAAGCAAAACAGAATCAAGCATGCAAGACCTAAAGCACCAGATGGTACAAAATGCTACGGCCAGACTTCTAACTGGGGTGAAGAGGCACCAACATATTTCCCCCACACTGGTCTCCTCGCATTGGTTGCCCATTCATTTCCGTGTTGATTTCAAAGTTCTTACGATTATAAAGCCCTAAACGGTTTAGGACCTCGATATCTGGCAGAGCACCTTCTCCCACCCAGTTCTGCCAGAGACACTTGTTTTAGCCTGGCCAGGTGACTGAGGGGCCTAACGCCGAGGGAAGCCAGGAAGAAAAGAATGAGGAACTGGGCCTTCTCGGCAGTGTCCCCTCGCCTCTGGAACAACTTGCCCGTAGAGATCCGCCTGGCTCCTTCTCTGAGTGTTAGAGAAGGTTATTCAGGCAGGCTTTCCCTCCTGCTACATCTTAATATTTACATTTTTACATCTTGGATTTTTACATATTTATTGGTTCCATTGTTTTTAGATTTTGTAATGCTGCCCAGAGTAGACCCAGTCTAGGTGGGTGGAGTATAAATCTAATAAAATAAATAAATGCAAAGAAAACAAATCAAAAACCAATCAGCCATTCAAGACCCATTGCAATGCAAACAAGACAAAGCAAAAAGCAATTAAGCCAATCGTGCAAGAACGGAAATGGGGGGGGGAGTAAAAAGCAAACAAACTCTCCAAGACCCTTCGGGAATGGGGGGAAATCCAAAAAGCAAGGAAACCCCCCAAGACTCATCAGAAATGGAGGGGGGAATCTAAAAAGCAACCAAAGCCCCCAAGACCCATAAGAAATGGGGAGGGACCCAAAAAACAAACAAATCTCCAAAGACCCATCACAGCACAGTAACATAACTCCCCAGCACAAAACCACACTGCAAAAACACCCAGAAGAGTTTTTTAAAAGCAAAAAATAGCACCTTACCTTACAATGCAGCCCAAAGCCTCCCTGCAAACACACACACACTCTCTCAGGAGCAGAAGGAGGCAGTCCCAGGCCTCCGACGACAACGCACACTTTCGAATTGCTGGGGCGAAAGAGATACAAAGAAGTAGCCTTGTCACCACCTGTAGTTGGCAATTTGAATTTCCCGCCTTTTCTGTTTGTAAGTGGAAGCTCCAGCCGCAAGTAGAAGCAATTTTTTGCGGCCAGAGCTGGTCGTAACGCAAAATGGTCGTAAGTTGAGGCACCTCTATAGTTTGGTTAATATGATGAATCAACAGTTACAGAGTCTAACAGGAAGATCTCATTAAAAAGCCTTTTAATCCAACTGACTATTTTGTCTAAATATGAGAATGTTTTAATATCTTTATTTTGTTCTTATTGTTGTACTGTTTTAACTTGGGTCTGACCACATAATAAAGTGTAAATGAATGTTTGTTTGAATGATCATTTTAGCAAAACTTTAATGAGGAATTATTTGTCTTTCTGGTTGGCAGGTATTTGTATGCCCTTGGTCAGAAGGTCTGGAAACGATGGAAAAAGCGCTACTTCGTTCTTGTGCAGGTTAGTCACTTTTAAATCTTCCATGGGAATCAAGTAGGGGAAAAGATCCTGAGCAGTCCAGCAGGGCACTGGCAGACCCCTCAGGACATGGTACAGGGTGGTGTGACTTCTCAGGATCAAACTATATGATACATTTATCTCATCATTAGAAACAGAGCTTGCAGAAGAGATAAAGGCTGTGTTTATCCAAAGCACAAGCTTTGCTAGCTTCACATGTTACAAATTAGCTTGCCATTGCTTTGTGCTTGGTCACTGGGTGCTAAACAAGTCAGACTTCATTGGCAAAACTAATTGTGAAAGAATTCTTTCAGATCTGGCTAGATCTGTTTCGATTGTTGTGTTTATTGTAAGCAACCTTGAGCACTACATAGTACAGTCAACACTTGACTTACAAACTTAATCCGTTCCGAAAGGAAGTTTGTAAGTCGAAAAGTTCATAACTCGAATCAGCATTTCCCATAGAAATACATTGAAAACCAATTAATCGGTTCGGGCTGTGTTTGGTTCTTAGGTTGAGGGGCGGTTTGTAAGTAGGAACTAATGCAAAACCGGTTAATCCGTTCCTACCACTAGGGGCAGATTTTTTTCTTTTTCTTTTTAACCTAAGATGGCGTAGGTTAAAAAAAAAGGCAGGAAACCATGGAGGGAACGAACGAACACTGTTTAAAAAGAACACTTTTTAAATCAAGCACCCTTTACACCAAAACAGGCACCTTTTCAACCAAGCATTTTTAAATCAAAACAAGCAGCTTTTAAAGCAGCCAAGCATGTTTTTACCCAAGCAGGTTTTAACTCAAACCGAGCTCCCTTTTACCCAAGCACCATTTAACCCAAACAAAGCACCTTTTAAACTAAATTTTACATTTAAAAATGACAACACCAGGAAGTCCCAGTTCTCTCTTCCCACTCTCTAACCACTTGGACGAGCGAGGAAGCAGACAAGCAGCTTCTTCGCTAAATGAAAGTTCAAATTTCCCGCTTTCCTTGCCTTCCCCATGCTTTTTTTTTCATTCGTAACTCAAGTTTGCAAGTCAAGTCCATATTTTCCTATCAGAGCGGTTCATAAGTTGAAATGTTCGTAACTAGGGCCGTTCGTAAATCGAGGGTTGACTTTAGTAGTGATAAGACAAGAGTATAAATATAATATGATGATCATACCTGGAGGGAAGGACTTCCATTGGCTTCTTATGACATGCTAATTGACTGGTACAATGTGACTCTGAACACATTAACTGATGCCTGCAGTAGGCTCAGGAAGAAGACTGAAGGAGACTGTTGTTTTTCATAGACTCAAGGCAGCACATGAATTTGTCTTATGCTCAGGAATGAGTAGAAAAAGTAGTATTTCTCTGTGCTTTCTTGGGTTCCTGACCAGTCTGAGGAGTGTATGCAAAGAATTGTGTATTTTTAAGAAGCGGTTTCATGAGAAATGTATGGCATGCTGTATAATTTGAAACTTTATACCATGTTTCCCCGAAAATAAGACCGGGTCTTATATTAATTGTTGCTCCAAAAAACGCATTAGGGCTTATTTTCAGAGGATCTTTTATTTTACAGTCATGTCATCTTCTGGCTGCTGCACAATGCTGCACAATGGTGTAAGGTGGGGTTTCACTTAACTAGGGCTTATTTTTCGGGTAGGGCTTATATTTTCAGCCTGGAAAACCATACTAGGGCTTATTTTCAGGTTAGGTTTTATTTTCAGGGAAACAGGGTATAAACATGCAGTGTTTTTCAGAGGATCTTTTATTTTACAGTCATGTCATCTTCTGGCTGCTGCACAATGCTGCACAATGGTGTAAGGTGGGGTTTCACTTAACTAGGGCTTATTTTTCGGGTAGGGCTTATATTTTCAGCCTGGAAAACCATACTAGGGCTTATTTTCAGGTTAGGTTTTATTTTCAGGGAAACAGGGTATAAACATGCAGTGTTCAGTTGTGTCAGGTTAGTTTTTATTTTCGGGGAAACAGGGTATAAACATGCAGTGTCCAGTTGTGTGAATATCTAGCAGCTCAATTGCCATAGCAAACCCTGTTCCTTGAAATGGACTGTACAAGGCCGTTTCAACATTATTTACATTACAGTGGGGTCTCTACTTAAGAACTTAATCCGTATTGGAAGGTGGTTCTCAAGTTGAAAAGTTCTTATGTTGAATCTGCATTTCCCATAGGAATGCATTGAAAACCATTTAATCCGTATCTGCTCTTTTCCGTCCATAGAAACTACAGTGGAACCTCTACTTAAGAACTAAATCTGTTTTGGAATGGTGTTCTTAAGTTGAAACATTCTTAAGTTGAAGCAAAATTTCCCATAGGAGTGGACTGAATACCAATTAATCCGTTCCGGCTGTTTTTTTTTTGTTTGTTTGTTATGTAGAGGTGCGTTCGTACATTGAAGCATTAGTTCCCATAGGAACTAATGCAAAGCTGGTTAAAAAAAGAGCAGGAAAGGTTTTTTTCCTGTTCTTATCTTGGATTTCTGTTCTCAAGTAGAAGCAAAATTTAGCAAATGGAGCTGTTCTTAAGTTGGATTGTTCTTAACTAGGGACGTTCTTAAGTAGAGACCCCACTGTATAGGTCAGTAGTTCCCATCTTTGGGTCCTGGATGTTTTTTGATTGCAACTCCCAGAAATACGACGTAGCACTGCTAGTGGTGAAGGCTTCTGGAAGTTTTAGTCCATGACTATCTGAGGACCCAAGGTTGGAAACAATTACTATAGATAAAGGTTGTAAAATAAGCATGCAATGGTGGGTGGGTGTGTTATGACAGTATTGATCCTCTATGGATAAACATAAAGATTCTTTCATAACTTTGTTAGATGCAGCTCATTTATGTGACAGCAGCCATTTAGTATATGTAAAAAAATAAATTTACACTACTAGGAAAGCTTTGTATGAATCATTTAAATTCATCTGTAGCAGCTTTCATCTTTGAGTACATGACAGTCTCCCTTATGCATGAGTATTCATGTCATTATCTCAGTTCTGTGAACTTTCCTGGAGTTTCTGGCAGACACAGATCAATAAAAAATGCCTGCAGTCTCAAGTATTTATGCATGTCTCTTTTGGTCATCGCAGTCTTAAGTGATTCATCAATATATCTTCTTAGTGTGTTTTCATACTGATATGCCTTTCAAATAACCATGGGCACCCTTGTGCATAGTAATTACTGAAATAAAATGAAACAAAAATGTTTTGCAACACCCTTGTCATATCATGGTTGATGCCATTTTTAGCCATGGATAATGACAGTGTGTAAGATAATAGCCAGCCATTCAGCCAACTATGGCTTTTCCAATATATTTCAAGATGTACAGAACTGAAGCTAGCTCATTCTTTCTCTTTTCCCTACCTAATAACTCATTCTCTCACCAACTGTTTTATTTTCCATCTGCTTGCTTTCTGCATTCTGGTTCTAGGGAATGTCTCTGGAAAAGGACAGTCCTTCCCATGGGAAATATATATCTTTTTCTCCACCCTGCTCTCTTTCCACCTGTATGTACAGATGCATCCCATTCCTCATGCCAGCATCCCCCACCTGCAGCCTATATTTTTTGCATTGTGCTATCTTACTTTCTGGTCCGATTAGACCATGTGGAACTTTAAGAAATAATGCAGACAAAAATGTATTTTGCTACTCCTTCATTTTCCAGACATCAGATATCAGTTAGCATCAAATTGTTCAATTGGCCCGGGTTACTTCTTATATCTGATTATAAAAGCAAATGCTTTGTGTTGGACGAACATGAGACCTACAATTTTAAAGTGTTGTTTTCTCAGTAGGTAGACAAAGTAGAACTCTGGCCATTTCCTACTTACATTCTTCTTCCTTACTGGGAACGCCATGAGGTAACTCCTTCTACAGGCTGGTCAACAGATTAGAAGAATATGTATTTTACAGCCAAATATCAAGGCATAATAGAGCCTGAGATGGGTTATAGATGCTGTCATAGACTGAAGTGCAAGTCTTACCATATTCTTTTAGTAGCAAGGCTGTTTTTTTTTCTCTAGGGCCTTATTACCACTGAGGTAAACTGTTGGCCATGTGCCAATGGAGGGTTGGGATAGATCCAAAAGCTGGAAGGGCCAGTCCTGTCTCTCTCCCCCCACCTTTCTCTTGGTCTCTGCTGCTCTCTGAGTGTCTTCTTGCACCTCACACACTCCTTTTCATTCCCTCTCTTTGTCCATTCAAAATAATGTAGCTTGCAAAATAATCATAATGTCTTTAAAAATATTTAAAAAACAGTAAGTGAGCAGATGTAGATGCTTCTCTTGCTCCCTCCTAATTTTAATAACTTCCTGTCAGAATAATGAAAAACTGTACTTCCATATTCAACTCTTTAAGTGCCAGTCATGAATGAAAATACAGTGGTGCCTCGCACAACGAGTGCCTCACACAACGATGAATTCACACAATGATGCTTTTTTCTGTCAAATTTGCTGCCTCACACAGCGATGTTTCCTATGGGGGATTTTCACACAATGATCTCCCTTTTTGCTCCTGTAAAAGTGTCTTACAATGTTTGGAAGCTGTTTTAAATGATTGCAATGGTTAGTCCACCTCCTGAAACCTATGCAAACTGATTTTGGTGTTGTTCTGACACTTCGTTAATTTATGATGATTTTTTGAATTTTCTCCATTGGAAACCATTGGATGGTCTGTCTAATGGTTTCCAATGGAAAAAACAAAAAATCATCATAAATTAACGAAGTGTCAGAACAACACCAAAATCAGTTTGCATAGGTTTCAGGAGGTGGACTAACCATTGCAATCATTTAAAACAGCGTCCAAACATTGTAAGACACTTTTACAGGAGCGAAAAAGGACTTCGCAAAGGCATTGAAATGTATTGAGTCGGCTTCAATACATTCCAATATAGGAAACATTGTTTCACTCAACGATGTTTCCTATGGGGATTTTCACTGAACGATGGCAATCCGTTCCAATTGGAACGGATTAACCGGTTTTCAATGCATTCCTATGTGAAATGGTGTTTCACA